GAACTGCAGATTTGGGCTGTTAACATGTGCCTAAAATAACACTCATAAAAACAGACATCCTATATAAATCATGAATTCAGTTTAACAACAAACTCTGGCCCAACTATTTAAGGTTTAAGAAACCAGACAACATTGTAAGCTGTATTAATAAGCGCACGGAAGTATCAATGCCTGAGACCGCGAGCTATTTAGATGAGATACCGGCGCAGGCTTTTCAGTCGTATCAGCCGCCTCCCGCATCGCCATTATTTCCGCCGCAAACGCTTCTTTCAGGTCGATTTCTCCGTGCGCTGTTTCAGGCAAAAGTTTTTCTTACCACCGCTTTCACGGAGATTTCGGTTTTGTCGGTTTGGTAAGAGTATTAAAAATGCGCGTCGGAAAAATGACTTTTTCTCGAAGCGGCCAGATTGTGGTAAGCAGGAAATGGGGAGTTTATAAAATGTTTATTTTCAAATTCTTTTTTTAAAGTGCATTTCTCTTAAAAATTACTGATTTTGTTGTATATCGTTTTATTAATTACCTCGTATTGTCATAAACTCAAAGTAATCATAAACAAACTACAATGAGCAACTAAATTTTATAGGATGTGTAAAATGTATACCACCGGCACGAAAACGGACACACCTTAAAATTTTCATTTATTTTAAAAGTGGTGCACAGCCTGGCATATAGTCTTGCAACTGCAATAGATACGAATATATTGAGTTTTGGGATGTTCACCAAGATGCCAAACAAAAAGTTATAAAAATTTCAAGGATTGCTGAGTTTCTTGGAAAACGGATTTTTTTTTTTTTTTAGAATTTATTTTTTTCCTCATGTTACTTTTAAGAAAAATCAAAACTAATTGCACATTCTTATAGCCACTTTATGAGGGATATCTGAGAGTATTTTCAAACCGAAAATAGACGAAATGGTATCCGTATTTAAAAATTGCTGGCCTCTTTATCTCAATAAATTATTTCAGCTAATTTGAAAATCTAAAATACTATCAGATAGCCCTAATAAAGCGGCTATGAGAATGTGGAATTAGTTTTTTGATTTTCTTGAAGTAACGATTATAGAAAAAATAAAAATTCATTTTCAAAAAACTGTTTTTTTTTTTTTCCTAAAAAACTCAGCAATCCTTGAAATTTTAAAACCTTTTTGATGGCATCTCGGCGAATATCCCAAAGCACAACTTTATCCCAATTTAATCCTCTTCGTGTCTATTACGGTTACCGAGATACCAATGTCGTACTCGAATTTGTAGCACCCTGTATATTGTGCTAATTTTTTAAGCAATTTGTAGCTAATTTATTTGACTTTTTATTAACTCTTTCTAAATTAAAATGACCTCAGTAATTCAGAACTCGAACGGCCAGATGCTACATCTTCTCTGTGTTACTCTAAGGATGTGAGAGCTGGACACTAAATTCACAGACCGAAAGGAGGATAGAAGGCTTCAAAATGTATATGTACAGACGGATGCTGCGAATTTCATGGGTACAAAGGATCGCCAACGATGAAGTACTCCAGCGCATGCAGAAACAAAAAGAGATACTCAACACCATCAAGGAAAGAAAAAATGCAATTACCTGGGTCCAGTAAGGCTACAGTGGGAGAACCAGGCCTAGCCCCCCCCAGATAACCAGTGCGTGTCGTATAAAATTGGTTTCAACCTCACATGAATCTTATCTTATAGTGACCTAAGCCCCCCCCAAAAGACTTGAGCCCTCCTAAAAGTATATGTTTAGTTGCGCCCCTGCCTGGGTCATGTGATGAGATGTGATAGATACGAAATACTGCGCCTCATAATAGAGGGCAAAGGGCAAGGGAAAAATCAATCAAAAACAAACAAATCCAAAAAAGGCGTAACTAGACGATGAAATAATTTTTAAATTTCTTACTTATTAAAATATCAACATTTTGTTTGTCCTCGTTTAAGTGACAGATGGGAGCTTTCATTTTTAATTTAGAAAATAAGACTAAAAGTCAAATAATTTAGCTACACATTGCTTAAAAATCATCAAATCGGCCCACTGAAACAAAATATATTAAAGTTTAAAATACATCAAACTTTATAGTGCCCGTTGGCTCAGAGTAGCTCAAAACAAAGGTTCAAAAAATTTAATTTTCTTCACAAAACCAAAATGCTTAAGTTTTTAGAGGTATTCTGAATTTACGTAAAATTTTCTACAAATGCTGAAATTCTCTATAATTTTTGATTATGTTTACCATTTTCTACGACTTTTGAACATGTGTAAAAAATAGCCAAACAGTGTCATTTTTTCAACATTAAGTACAATGTTATGTCACTGATTTTATACAAAACTACTGATATTTACTAATTAAAAGGTGTGTAGAATAAGAAAATATGGGTCATTGTAGTCGTACGAGAATAGTATTGGATATAGAGGCTCTATTTTAACCATCCCAGAGGCCATCAACAAAAATAGTTAAATAAGGACCCAAAAGTATTAATTTTTCATAAACTAACAATCTAAACCTTTAAAGATACATATAATATACACATTCTTAATTCACATAAAATTTCCTACAAATCCTCAAATTTTCATAATTATAGGAGTATGTTTAGTATGTTTCTCAGGCCCTTGAAAAATGTGTAAAAACTAGCCAAAAATGGACATTTTTCGACTTTTTATTGGGACGCGCGTTTCGCTAACCATGCAGATAATTAAAACTGATTTTGAGGTATAATCATATGCTGATGATGGTTAGTGAAACGCTTGTCTAGTGCAAAAGTTAAGTGTTTGGTGTATTGTGCTGAATGAGTGTTTTATTTGCTGTTTGTAACACACCAAAGGTTCCAACATTCAACTGTAATCTACGAGTATACCATTTAAAAAAATAAAAAGTTCTGAAAAAGTATTAAAAAAAAAAAATGTCTAAAATTTTATATAGATTAGATTTGACGATTTGAAAAGTTTTGTATTTTTAAGGGACTCTCAAGGAGAATCAACTTATGTTTTTCAGGGGATTTTGTCTAAAGCTAAATACCTACTATTGAGTATTATAGCTTCTTTTTTTTTAATACAGAAAAAAATATAAGACAATAAATACCATTCAAATATTCTTTGTGTCCATAAACCATAACCATGAGATCATGTAGAATAAATGATACATAAAGGTCTCAAATATAAAACACATCTTTGTTCTCACAAATCTGCTTATATTTTCAATAATACGATATATCAAATAAATAAATATACATATAGGTGCTTATCGTACACATATGACTTATAGACTATGTTACAAAATGACAGTACTATGTACAAAAATCCTATACCATCAAACAGGTGTGTATATATAACAATCTTGACATAGACTAAATGCAATTTTATATATAATTAATTTATTTATTTAAAACTTTTTACATATAAATTCCATATGAGAAATAGGAATGGCGAAAATACACATATGGTAGGAACGAGATACTATTCAGAACAAATCAGTAATTTTTAAAAAAAAAAGTTTTTTTTTTTTTTTCATTAAATTGTACCCGTATGATCGAAAAAAAAAAGCGACGTCAAAGCGGCAGAGAAATGACAATCGATGAAATTTGGCGAAGTCAAGCCCTAGACCTCATTTACCTGGCTTACTTTAGATTATGTAGTTTAAAATTCGGAGAAAAGAAATGAGTACTTTGTGATGTGTGTCAAATTTTTAGTAAATGAGATCTAGAGATCGACCTCGCAAAATTATCATTGATTGTCCTTCCCCAGCTCGTCTTTGACGTCGTTTTTTTTTCTGATGATACGATGATTATAAATTATATATATAATAGTAATATACATCTACATTATAGTTACCTAATATTTAAATAAATAAAAATTTACAAAAATATCACAAAAGGTCGAAAAAAAGTACAAGCAGCACAGTGAATGTACAAAGTCCTCTAGCACTCAATCACATAATACTATAATCATTAATGGTTTATTTATATTGAATTTATATGTTGCACTTTTTAATACAAGAGATTATCACTATTTTGCATAAATTAATAAAAATCATTTAAAAAATTAACATTCTACCTCGGTTTCTTAATTTTTGTTTCTTAAGTTATATTTACTTACATTTATAATTTATTTAACATATATTGCATTGAAAGTATAAAAGACATTTTATAAAAATGTATAATAATTACTTTTAAATATATATTTACTCTATTGAAATGAATTTTCTAAAACATAATACCAAAAATAATCTTAATCATTTCCAAATATCTATTTTGGTGCTTTATAATCAATAATGATCATTTTGTGAGTGAAATAATATGAGGAATATTGCAAATAAATCTAAAAAAATACCTTCACTGAATCGTAAGTGCAAACAATCAATATAATCCAATATAATCAATATAATATCGGCAGACGACATGACAGAAAATGACAGAAAATTCAATTTACTCGTGAAGTAAAATGACAAGCAACAACTGTCAACGTCAGATATCCTATCGTTGGACTGACTTTAATACAAAAAAAAACAAAAATAATAACTCAAGCAAAATTGTTCACCTTGTTACTAAAAACTGTCCTAAAACAATATTTGTATAAATTTCAGTGCAAATTATTTAATATTTGCACTAAATTATATGCACAATATATTTGTTTAAATTAATTAATAATTATTGCTCAATTTTAAGCATATTTTTAAAATATATTGCCTACTTTACCCATCAAAATATTATAATATATTATTCATTTGCACTGAAAAATTGCCAAGGAACAGTGAAACTCTTTATATATTAAAAGAAAATTTATTACTTGCACTGCAAAACGTTTAAAACAAATAATTAAAGGATACAGTGCAATTTTTTTATATCAATGTTTTATTTTTTGATCTTTTGCACTGTTTCATAGTTTTTAAAAACAATGAAACATTTTACTTGTGAAAAAAAAGATCATTTGCGCTCTCTTATCACTAAAAACCGTTTGTAATGGATTACTGAAGGTAATTAACTATTATTTTAGCCAATAAAAGTGTAATTATTAATCATTTGCCATGTTAAAAAATCCTAAGAACAGTGAAAACCTTCTACTATTAAAAAAAAGATTTTTTGCACTCTAACTGCACCAATTTATTGATATATTGCTAATTTAACTTTAGAAATATTATTATTTGATCATTTGCACTGTGTAAGAAGTAGCTAGTAACAGTGAAACATCATCAAAGAATAATGATCATTTGCACTGTAAAAAGTGGTTAATCAACAGTGAAAAATCATCAAAGAATACTGCTTATTTGCACTGAAAAAAACGGGTTATATAAACAATGAAACCGAAATAGAAAAGTTTAGACTCAGGATGTACAACAATAATTCTACATTCATTTAATTTACAGTATTTTACGGATTTCCTATTATGTACGATTAATCATTTAAATATTGCAAAAATCTTTGATCTGTCCTCCCAAAAACCCTCACTCTCCCTCACAGTACTCACCACCTCTCCTTCGACTAATAAGGATCAGTCTTTATATTTACATGATCGAAACAATAAGCGTACCCTCAGTACTTCTGTCCTACACAGTCCGCCTGATAGTACGGAGCAGTAGACACGCTCCTGTAGTTGTGAGGAGGTGAAGGAGACACTCCAGAGTGCCTGAAACTCGCCAACTGACAGCTGGGGGCAGTACTACCATCGAAAATTATTTCCCGGTAGCCCGTGGGGGTTGTTGCAGCTTCTGGTGATGTTTCCGGACTGTACCATGGACTGTATCTTGGAGTAGCCTCGTCAGCAATGTTGTATTGATGCTGAGGCGTGGCAGTGGGGCAGTAAGAGTACATACCCCCCTGATGAGTGTAGTCTTGTTGAGTTTGTGTAAGCTAATGCTTGATCTCTGCTGGTCATGAGGCTGTCAACACTAAATGCTGCCGCAGTGTCTATTGCTTGGAGCGAGGCGGTTACGTCACTTAAAACGTGGTCTTGGTGAACGATTACTGACTTGGGGTCGCCGTATTTCGCACTCATACACTGACTGAGTTCGGTGTTTGGTTCGCGTTTAGGTTTACACTCTCCTAGTTTTGTTTTGGGGTCATCCAGAGGTTTTTCTTCACGTTTGGGTGATTCTGGATGAATCTGCTGTCTTTTTGATGGCTTTTCTCTCTTAGGGCGTCTTTCTTTTTTTTGAAACGTCTACGGCGTCTTAAATATGAGCCGTTATCGAACATATTGTAGGAATCAGGATCTAGAGTCCAATAGCTGCCTTTTCCAGGTTTTTTATCGTCTCTAGGTACTTTGACGAAGCATTCGTTGAGACTGAGGTTGTGTCTGATTGAGTTCTGCCAGCCTTGCTTGTTTTCCCGGTAGTACGGGAACCTTTCCATGATGAACTGGTAGATTCCGTTAAGTGTGATCTTTTTTTCGGGAGCGTTCTGGATTGCCATTGCTATGAGTGCGATGTATGAGTAAGGAGGTTTGACCATGTCTTTTGCCGTGGTGAGGGGATGTTGCTGATGATGCCACGCGGCGTATCCATAGCGGTACTGCTCGTAGTAAGGATTCGAAGTAACGGATGCGGTGGAGTTGTATCCGTAGCGGTTGTAGGCGCTTTGGTGTTCGGTGAGGAACGTATGCATCTTTCCCGGAAAAGAATAATAATTCAAGCAAAGGGTGTTATGTTTTCACTACGGTTCACTATGCCCGGTCTTGGAAAAACAGATCGTGTCGGCGAATATTATGATACACAACATGGGCAAGTTTACACAGCGATTAAGTAAAAACAGAGTATGTTGCTTCTTACCGCGCCGCAATGTTACTAGTGAAAACATGGGCAGTCTGTAAGGGGGCCCGGATCGAAAGGGGCCCGAAACGGTACCGCCTTCGTGCTTTCCGACCAATCAGGACGGTTTAAACGCCTCGATCGATTCCCGTTGCATGGCGGTGTGTTCGGGAACGAGCCACGCCCCCGGGATATTCTGGAGGATTTTTTCCGGACTTGGCGAAATCGCGAGTGAATGGAGAAAACAAACCCTTTAAAAATCGGTGAGTGCGCGGAAGAGGATTATTGTTTCGCACGTCCGGTTTGATTTGGTGAGTACCTCGAAGATGATGGAGTACCATCAGAAGATGAGCAGTAATGAGTTTGAAAATGGGTGGTGCCGGTGAGAAAAAAGGATAGAAATGGGGTTTTCGAGAAAGAAGTTGTCAAAGTGCGCGGGAATGTGGTGGTACTGACAGGACATGGTACTCAAATGAACAGGTAGTTACACATATTATTAATTTATACTTTTATTTAAAAAGAATATCACTTACAAGGGTCAAATTCCGAATAGAAACAAAAAAAAAACGGCGTCAAGTGGACTTTGAAAATGAAAAAGGATGATAATTCCTGTCTGGAATATTTTTTTAGATTGAATATTAACTTTTGACAGGTATTAATATGTCCGTTTTTAATAAAAAATTTATTTACGTTGCTCAAAGTTTATTAAAACTCTAAATAGTCAATTCAAAGGGTACTGTGACGCTCTTTTTTTTACTCGATAATGCGGTGCACCTATATAATATAGTAATACAGTGTGTATCAATAAAATACATCATTTGATAAAAAATAATTAAAAGTAAAAACTTCTTATACAGGGTGTCATATGAATATGCAACTATATTAGGTATTCAATTTTCGAATTATTCAGAAAATTCTAGACATATTTCATGTAAACAGACACTTTAAAATTTTCATGTATTTTAAAGTTCAATATACCGTATGATCGAAAAAAACGACGTCCAGTTGGCTTGGAAATGGACATCGCTGACATTCCCCATATAATTTTACATACAAATTGACAGCGATCTTCATTTGACAGCCATCGCTGACGCCATTTTTTTTGATGATTTTTTAAGCAATTTGTAGCTAAATTATTGACTTTTTAGCCCATCTGTCTTGTATACGAGGAAAAACAAAATGTTGTTATTTTAGCGAAGGTTTGAAACACCCTGTGGAATGATTTAACAAAGTAAAGAATTTAAAAACCACCTAGTCATCAAGTTGTACCTTCTCGTGATAGTTTGTTTTTTAGTTCATCTCAATAACTTCAATTTAATTTTAGATATTCGTTTTTGAAGAAGACATCGAAGATTTACAGCAATTTTAGCATTATTATTGCTGTTGAACCTCATCAACACATCTTTGAAGTATGTAAAAAAATGTAAGTACCGTATGATCGAAAAAAAAAAAACGGCGTTAGCGGTGGCTATGAAATAAAAATCGCTATCATTTTATATGTAAATTTATATGGAAAATGTCATCGATCTTCATTACATAGCCATCGCTGACGCCGTTTTTTTTCGATCATACGGTATGATTGAAATGTCATTATTATTGTTATTATGTTATTGTTTGTTGGTAGTTATTCTAGATGAGATGGTTTTAAGTGCAGAAGTTGATCTCTACGATGTTCAATTATTGAAGTATCAATTGCCGATACAACTTCTGGACTTAAGTCAACAAACAACACTAATATGACTTTTCAGTGACAGTATCATTACAAAAATCATAAACAGTACTTCATAAGTGTGTTGATGACTACAAAAATAAAAACAAGAAATGCAAAAATTGATATGAATAATACTGCCTTCTTCAAAAGCGAATATCTCCATGAAAAACAAAGCTATTGATATAAATCAAAAAACAAACTATCCAAAAAAGATGCATTTTAATGATAGAGCATTTTTTAATTTCCTAACTTTCTTGGAATTTAAAAAATACTTTACCATTAACGTGATTACAATAGAACGGAATGAATATGATATATCTACCCCGATGGCTATCTGAACAGGTGGTGGTCCTATACTCCATTGATCCGACCGTTTCGAAGGTTTCGAATAGAGTGGTCCTCAAAGTACACACTCGAAACGTTGTGTTAGGCCAGTTAGGCCGGATTTAGTCCTATAAGAAGACCGGACGGTTCTTGTTTATGTAAATTTAGGCGGCTTTCTGACACAAGCGATGGTATTTTTTCTGTTTGTCCTGCTTTTGAAAGGTTTCTAGTATAATAGCGTATATCTATGCGGTTCTTGAAAAAATCCTGCCGCTGAAAATGAAATGTAAAAAATATGAAACATATAGTTTGTAAAACGCCACTGCTTTATCGTTCAAAGGGACACGCCATTTATTTATATTTGATATTGTTATTGATTATGAAAGGGGGGAAATTAGGGCTTTGAATACTGGCTTTGACCAAAGCTAGTATTTGAGACGATTTTACATAGGCTAGTTCTCCATCCTCGACCAAACTCGTACCAAAATTTATGGCTCGAATGGTTGTCGTCTTGGCGCACTCAGCAATGAGGTTTTTTGGTGTTCCCCGTTTTCCCCAAAGCATCTCCATTCGCCGTTGTTTCTTGGTTGAAGAGACAGTATCCTGTTAAAAAAACCGTGAAAATCAAATATTGTTCTTACTTATGTCAAGGTATAAATTAACATATTTCTAAACCATTTTACAGGGGGACTTGTAATAGAAATTGTTCAAACTTTTTAGTCAAGTTCCAACAGAAACAACAAAATAAAAATACAAAATACCTTCAAACGTTCAAGATGAATCTCTTCCACCAAAAACTACCTAAATTATCATTTAAAAACATTTGTTATTCGGTAGCTCGGGATATTTACTTAAAAATGCTCATGTTTGTTGAAAAAACAGCGAAAACAATATAGCGGAGCTCGATTCAGATACCTATGTGGCAGATGGTCGTACGTAGGTACCACCGCACCCATCAAATACTATCAGTGAATATGCCCTTCGAAGGTAAACAGTAGCGAGTGGTTTCACGCCCGATCTTCGGATATTTTCTTAATTTATTACTGAGTGGTACTATGCCTTGAGATAGGTACCTCTGAACAGGTGGCTCGCGTTGAATATTGGTACTCTTTTATTTTGATCAGCAAATATAGAGATGTGTTTTAAAGAGCTACAGTTAATTAACCTTTAATTTTTACATATCTAAATAAATATAAGAAAGTCGGGTTATACAGTGTTGTTCACCACATACGACACGGTATTGTAGCTAAACGATTAGATTTTTACAAATTTGAAGTTTTGGGTTCGATGAAGGACTATTAGAGGTACAATTTAAAAATAATTTGACAAGATACAGAGTGTCCCAAATAAGTAAAAAATATCAAAGTTGTATTTTTCTAAATGGAACACCCTGTATATTATTTCATTTTTAGTTTCTACGATTAAAATAAAGGTAAATTTGATTAAGGTTTATTATACTTAAACCTTACCGTTTTTGAAATATTTTCAATTTTGGGAAATTGCAGTAAAAATTTCAAGGCTTCATTTCTCCAAGGGTATCAGCAACCTAATAGCAACCTTTAAAAAAAATTATATTATTAACTTGCGAAAGTTTTAAATAAGTACTCTTTGATTCCTCATCAAAAAATATGAAAAAAGCTCCTATAAACATGGGTATGGAAATGCATTCTTTTAGAGTTATAGGATGTTAAAACATTTTAAAATTAGATTTTTTGTAAATACCTTAAATACCATTATTTTTTTATTTGAAATTGCTGTAGGTTGGAATAATGACAACATCGCTATCACGATAATTTTCTTAATATACCCCTTCCTGTTCTTTTTATACTCAATAGACAAAATTAACAAATTTAACTTTCAGGATTAAGTCCAATACGTGTACACAAAAGTAACTAACAGCATTAACCCATGGGAACGTTCCTTGGGTGGTTTAATTTATAAGCCTCTTAGGGTTAGAAACACGTGTCGGAAGATGGCCTGGGCTTTTCCCAACAATTTCATTAAGTGGCATCGCTGAAAGGAGATTTCGGCTTTTGACTTTGACAATTTTGACAATTTTTCCGTGCTGATACACAGATGTCAGAGATTATCTGTTAAAATCTGCGAAAGATGGACAGGTTGGTGGTCGTAAAAGGTCATTATTTAAGATATTTTCTTTGATTATAATAAATACCGACTTTTTAATTTTATTATTTTTAAGTCACTAGATAATACCTACACGTGTTAGCAAATCGTATTTTGAGTTTTGGAAAAATAGATTTGATCGTCTAACGTTTTTGGTGTCTTGTCCTAGCCAGTTAAAAGATGCTTAAATCGTATTTTTAATAGTATCTCAATTATTTCAAATGGAACGAGGATGGCACATTAGCATATTTTGAAAAGGCATTTTTTACGAATATTTTGGTACCACACACTTGGTATTTTAAGTCAAATTATCGTTATGAATCGTATGTTACAATTTCAAATAAACCATATGCGAAAATGTCAAAAGTTGACATATGTGATATGTCATTCTCTTCACAGTGTCATTTTCTATCGAATAAAGTAAACAAAATACCGAGGGTGAAATTTAAAAATCAAATGTTGTTGTAGTCATTTCCGGTGAAACAGGAAGTGACCCATCAGAACTTGATGGGGAAATTCGCATGCCTGAATTAAGACCCCAACTGGTCTTTTAACTTCTCTGTATAATAAAATTGTGGATATGTCAACTAAATTCCAATAAACAGCTTTTCAATATGAACAGTTGCATCATTTAAACTTGTTTAATACCGTCAAAAAAACAGGACAGATCATTAGTAGTACTCACTCATGACCAGTTCCAAAAAAGGAACCACCTCAACAAATCCAGCTGTTCCAGTTTGTTTTCCTTTCCTTAATTTTGATGATGGTGGTCGTATCTTGTCCACACATCATTAGGGATGGACTTTTTTGGACAAAAATATCGATATACTCTAAATATCTTCTTCTTTGGATATACAG